TATCAATAATATGTGAAATATGTATGATTCATAATTGCATGTACATTCATCTTCATTAGCATCATGATCAGTGCATCTAAAGCTTATTAGTATCACAAATTAATAAATATACATAGCTCTTTCTTGTACTTAATCTTAAAATATAACCCAAATCAATCTATTTTTTAGTAATTGGATCAAAATGGTTACTTTTACTTTTAAATAACTGGTCATGTAGATACTACATTGAAACATGGTAAATGGCTTAATAGGTGAGGTCTATTTTGAAAATCAATATTTCCTATTTTATCTCACAAGTATAAAACAACATTCTAAAAATCCAATGATGTGGTCATAGTGAGGTCAATTAAACATAAAACTTGGAAAATGACAGCTAAGAAGCTTTCCCACAATTGCAATGAGATACCAATTTGTTAACCATGACCCAAACATCATAACTCGTTATGAAACATAAAAAGTTTGTCAAAGTTGACAAGATATGGCTATAAGAAACAAAGAAATGAATAAAATCTGCTATTCCGTGAAATACTGATGTTATGTTAAACTACATGATAATCCCATAAAGCTATTAAAAACATTTTAGTTGAGTAATGTTCGACTTATTTTTTTCGTAAGATACTAAATACCCGAAGCCAGTTTTAATAACTCTCAAGATCACTTTGTAACCTTCAATGTTATTTTTTATACAAGGGAAACAATAAAGATATAATAAAATCCTTTACTCGGGTATTCCAAGAAGTTACATCTCTGTGGAACGCCTTTGTCAACTTCATACTTTGACATTACTATTACTATTTATGTAACTTTTTTTTCCATTTTTAAATTTATGTTTGGGTAAACCTTGGGTTTAGTGACTCCGATGTGCCATGTAAGTAGACGTCTACCTCATTTATTAAGTCATTTACCAAGTTTTAGTGTATTATCTGCATGGCTAGTTATTTAAGAGTAAAAGTAGCAATTTTTATCCAATTACTAAAAAGTAGATTGATTTGGGTTATATTTTAGGGTTAATTACAAGAAAGAGCCATGTATATTTATTAATTTGTGGTATTAGTAACCTTTAGATGCCCCGATCATGATGCTAATGAAGATGTTGAAGCCAATGTACATACAATTACGATGGTGATTTTTCAATCATACATATTTCACATATTACTGATATAAAAATATTCTGATATGAAGGTGTAAACACCAAATGAAAAAGGAAAAAGCAACAGCCACGAATAAGAAGAAAATTAGTTTTGGTAGTGCTGCTTCTGTTAGTAGTAGATAAGGGTGAAAATTTAAATCGGTAGCAACATGAGAAAAAAATTGAAGTAAAACTCAAGGCCAAAGCTTCAATTCTACTTGTTATTGAATTGTGAATTAAATAAAAAAAATGCCCAAATGCATATTGGATTATTTAAGTTAAAATCGGAGATGTGATGTTGGCAACTTGTTTTTAACCGTTTTGTAGAGTTAAAAAAAAATAGTATTTTAGATGGATAAATAACAAAAATATAGTCCATTAACATAATTACAAAAAATATAAAACACTTTATGTTCTATAAAGAAATATATTAAATAGCTTGTAATGAGAAAAATGAATTATAAAACGATATTTTCAAATAAGATTATTGAAATTAAAAGTAAATTAGTTAATTAAAGATTTAAAGCATTAGTATCAAAAATGAATCCAATAAGTTATAATTTACAAAACTATAAAAACTTGTTTATACATAACATTTGATGATTAATTAGTATCTTTATCTAAAATTAATAATTTAAATTATTCAATACATTTAATTTTGGATAATGCAATATACAACTGTTTGTACGTAAAAATGTTTCCATATATGGGTTGATATTTGAATAAACAAAAATGGTCTTGTGTTATAAATAAGATTATTATAATATGTTTAAATAAGAATTTATTATTTCTATATAATTTAATAGATTAAATAAATAAGATAAAACAATATTTATATAAAATGAATATTCAAAACTGAATGAGACATAGTACCTTAAAATGACAAATAAAAAAAAAATGAGACAAAAAATTTGAAATACATATACAAGTCAAATTTACATTTCCATTAAAAAATATAGTAAGACTTTTGCCTTGTTAGAAAGTTGGTTTTAGTTGATATCCAGAATGGTTTTTTTTTTGCCTTGTTAGAGATTACACTTTACAATAATAAAAAATCAAAAAAATAATTTGGTTTATAAGATATATGTGACTTGTTAAATATAACCTTACTTGCTTACATTTTGAAACGTCACCACATTTGTAGAATTTAAAACTTATGGCAAATGAAATATAGTTTAATATGGAAAATTACGTCAATAAAAAAACTCAATATTCGTCAAGCATCTTAAATTTTGTAAAAGACGTGTAAATTTATTTATGAAAATAGTTATGGGACCCGATAACAAAGTTTGTCAAGATATAAATAATAAAAAGCACTCTCAATGTCATTACTTCTTCTCACTTCTTTGGTTACATTCCTAACTAATATGGAAAAAATCAATTCCACATTTGCAAGACTAGGAAAGAAAAGTACAATGTTATAATGCTTTAAATTTTAGAAAGTGCAATGTATTTGATGAGAAAATGATTGACAGTACAATCCTAAAATTCTTGAAACTCAAAATCTAAATATAAACAAAAAATTTATTATCATAGATGCCTATATCAAACAATTACATGAACTTAATTTTTACTTTTTTTTCATAGATTTATTAGGCTTGCCAGTTCAATAACATGTATAATTGAAGCTTAGGCCTTGAGTTTTCCTTTCATTTTTTTCTCATGTTGCTACTGAGTTAAATTTTCATCCTTATCTACTACTCACAGAAGAAGCACTATTGGAACTTATTTCCTTCTTATTCGTGGTTGTTGCTTTTTTCTTTTTCATTTGGTGTTCACACCTTCGTATCAAAATATTTTATTATCAATAATATGTTAAATATGTATGATTGAAAGATCGCCATCATAATTGCATTTACATTGGCTTCAACATCTTCATTAGGAGATCATGATCAGTGCATCTGAAGATTATTAATATCACAAATTAAAATATGCATGGCTCTTTCTTGTACTTAAACCTAAAATATAGCCCAAATCAATCTATATTTTAGTAATTGGATCAAATTTCTACTTTTATCCATAAATAACTAGCCATGTAGATAATACACTGAAACTTGGTAAATGACTTAATAGGCGAGGCCTATTTTGAAAATCAATATTTCTCTTTTATCTTATGACTGTAAACACCATTCTAAAAATCCAATGATGTGGTCATATCAAGGTCGATTAAACATATAACTTGGTAAATGACAGCTAAGAAGCTTACCCACAATTGCAATGAGATACCAATTTGTTAACCATGACCCAAACATCATAACAGGTTATGAAACATAAAAAGCTTGTCAAAGTTGACAAGATATGGCTAAAAATAAATAATGAAATGAATAAACTTTGCTACTTCTTGCAATTAATCCCAAAAGAAAAAAAATCGAAGTGTCGCAACCTTTGATAGATCACGATGAAAGAGCCGGGAGAAATGTTAACCGGGCTCCACCCCATAACTCACAATAGTCCATTCCCGCGACGGTGGCCGAAAGGCAATGGTGGCTTACCCAAACATAAATTTAAAACAGTATGATAAAACCATATTATTTAGTATGGTAGACGTCTACTTGTATGAAACATCGAAATCACTAAACCCAAGGTTTACCCAAACATAAATTTGAAAATGGAAAAAACAAAAAAAATTACATAAATAGTAGTAGTAATGTCAAAGTATGAAGTTGACAAAGGAGTTAGAGAGATGTAGCATCTTGGAATACCCATTAAAGGATTTTATTTTATGTTTATTGTTTCCCTTGTATAAAAAATAACATTGAAGGTTAGAAAGTGATCCTAAGAGTTTTTTAAACTGGCTTCGGTATGTAGAATCTTATGAAATTTTTGGGTCTTATGTATATTTGTTTATTAATTACACATTCAAAATAATAAACGAATGAATGTCTATTTAGTATTACTAGTTTTGAAAATAAATTTGGGTAACGAAAAAAATATGCCGAACATTACTAAAATAAATTTTTTCTTTAATAGCTTTATGGGATTAGCATGTAGTTTAACGTAACATCAATATTCAACGGAAATAGTTTATAACTATTAACCCATTATTTGATGGTTTACGGAATATATATTCCTTACAAGTGGATATTAACACAATAATAACTTAATCATGGCAACAACACTTAGATGAAGGCCCTGCTTCGCATGAACCTGTAGCAAAAGCAAGTTCTTGGCAAAGTTGTAAGCAGTCGATGCTGATTGCGTCACACCGTCCAAAACATGCTGGTCCAAGAGCTGTATAGATGGAAATTCAAAATAGATGTTATAATTAAATCATGCTTTATCGTAAATTTTTTTCTAAATTACCCGGACAGAGAGGAATGATGACATACCTAAAATCGGAATACATGTCATGAAAATAAACCACAACACAAAAACCATCACGACAAGATAACTTTTTGTTGTGTAGGCCATTTATTTGATAAACAATATTGCTTGATTTTTATTGTAAGAATAGAATTAAAAAACGATCGTACTTTATGTCGGATTACCACTCCTTAAATAGTCATTCAAGTGAAGCCGTTCAATTTGAGCATAATAGTTTGTTAGCACCATTAATTAAGATCTTTAAATTTTATTATTAATGTATGTTCATATTGAAATTAAATTAGTATGTAATTGAAGAGGTTATGTTACGTTTCACATCAATTTAAGTGTGTGTGACATCATTAATTTCAAACATAACATAACCTCTTCCATTTACATGCTAATTTAATTTCAATATCAACATACATTAATAATAAAATTTAAAGATAGTAATTAATGGTGCTAAAAAACTACTATGATCAACTTGAATGGTGCTAACAAGTGTTATGCTTCACTTGAAAGACTATTTAAGGAGTGGTAATCCAACATAAGGTATCATCCTTTCTTAATTCTATTCATACAATAAAAATCAAGAAGTATTGTTCATCAAGCCAATGGCCTACACAACAAAAAGTTATTTTGTCGTGATGGTTTTGCTATTGTCGTTTATTTGCATGATATGTGTTCCAATTTTAGGTATGACATCATTCCTCTATTTTTGGGTATTTTAGAAAAATTTACCATAAAGCATGATATAATTACAACATCTATGTTGAATTTACATCTCTACAGCTCTTGGACCAGCATGTCTTGGACAGTGTGATGCAATCAACATGGACTGTTTACAACTTTGCCAAGAACTAGCTTTTGTTACGGGTTCATGCAAAGGAGGGCCTTCATCTGAGTGTTGTTGCCATGATTAAATTACTATTGTGTTAATATCCACGTGTAAGGAATATATATTCCATAAACCATCAAATAATGGGTTAATAATGATAAAATATTTCCGTGGAAAAATAGATGTTACGTTAAACTACATGATAATCCCATAAATATATTAAAAACAATTTAGTTTAGTAATGTTCGTTTATTTTTTTCAATGTGTGACTAATAAACAAATATACATAACACTCAAAAATTTCATAAGATATTACATAGCCGAAGCCAGTTTTAATAACTCTCAAGATCACTTTGTAACCTTCAATGTTATTTTTTATAAAAGGGAAACAATAAAGATATAATAAAATCCTTTAACGGGGTATTCCAAGATGTTACATCTCTATGGAACGTCTTGGTCAACTTCATACTTTGTCATTACTACTACTATTTATGTAAATTTTTTTCCATTTTTAAATTTATGTTTGGGTAAACCTTGGGTTTAGTGAGTCCCCTATATCATATAAGTAGACGTCTACCATACTAAATAGTATGGTCTTATCTTACTTTTTTAAATTTATGTATGCGTAAGCCACCGTTGCCTAAAGAATCTTCGGCCACCGTCACCGGAAAGGACTATTGTTAGTTATATGGTGGAGCCCGATTGACATTTATCCCGAATCTGCCATTGTTATCTATCAAAGGTCGCAGCACTTCGATATTTTTTCTTTTGGGATTAATTGCTAGAAATAGCAAAGTTATTCATTTATTTGTTTATTATAGCCATATTTTGTCAACTTTGACAATCTTTTTCTGTTTCATAATGATCTATGTTGTTTGGGTCCTGGTTAACAAATTGGTATCTCATTGCAATTGTGGTTAAGCTTTTTAGCTGTCAATTACCAAGTTTAACGTTTAAATTGACCTTGCTATGACCACATCATTGGATTTTTAGAATGGGATTTATAGTTATGAGATAAAAGAAGAAATATTGATAGTCAAAATCGGCCTCACCTATTAAGTCATTTACCAAGTTTTAGTGTATTATCTGCATGGCTAGTTATTTAAGAGTAAAAGTAGCGATTTTTATCCAAATACTAAAAAATAGATTGATTTGGGTTATATTTTAGGGTTAAGTACAAGAAAGAGCCATGTATATTTATTAATTTGTGATATTAATAACCTATAGATGCACTCATCATGATGCTAATGAAGATGTTGAAGCCAATGTACATACAATTACGATGGTGATGTTTTAATCATACATATATCACATATTATTGATATAAAAATATTCTGTTATAAGGGTATGAACACCAAATGAAAAAGGAAACAGCAACAACCACGAATAAGATGGAAATAAGTTTCGGTAGTGCTGTTTCTGTTTGTAGTAGATAAAGGCGAAAATTTAACTCATGAGAAAAAAAAATTGAAGGAAAACTCAAGGCCTAAGCTTCAATTGTACATGTTATTGAATTGTGAATTAAATAAAAAAAAATGCCCAAATGCATATTGGATTATTGAAGTTAAAGTCGGAGATGTCATGTTGGCAACTTGTTTTTTTAACCATTTGGTAGAGTTAAAAAAAATAGTATTTTAGATGGATAAATAACGAAAATGTAGTCCATTAACATAATTACAAAAAATATAAAACACTTTATGTTCGATAAAGAAATATATTAAATTGCTTGTAATGAGAAATAAGGAATTATAAAACGATATTTTAAAATAAGATTATTGAAATCAAAAGTAAATTAATTAATTAAAGATTTAAAGCATTAATATCAAAAATGAAACCATTAAGTTATAATTAACAAAACTGTAAAAACTTGTTTAAACATATCAGTTGATGATCAATTAGTAAATTTAGTATATTTATCTAAAATTAATAATTTAAATTATTCAATACATTTAATTTTGGATAATGCAATATACAACTGTTTGTACGTACAAATGTTTCCTGATTGTTGATATTTGAATAAACAAAAATGGTCTTGTGTTATAAATAAGATTATTTTAATATATTTAAATAAGATTTTATTATTTCTATATAATTTAATAGATTAAGTAAATAAAATAAAAAAATATTTATATAAAATGAATATTCAAAACTGAATGAGACATAGTAACTTAAATTGACAAATCAAAAAAAAATGAGACATAAAATTTGAGATACCTATCCAACTCAAATTTACATTTGCATTAAAAAATATAGTAAGACTTTTGACTTGTTAGAAAGTTGGTTTTAGTTGATATCTGAAATGGTTTTTTTTGCCTTGTTAGAGATTACACTTTACAATAATGAAAATCAAAAAAATAAGTTAGTTTATAAGATATATGTGACTTGTTAAATATAACCTTACTTGCTTACATTTTGAAACGTCATCACATTTGTTGAATTTAAAACTTATGGCAAATGAAATATAGTTTCATATGTAAAATTACGTCAATAAAAAACTCAATATGCGTCAGGCATCTGAAATTTTGTAAAAGACGTGTAAATTTATTTATGAAAATAGTTATGGGACCCGATAACAAAGCTTGTCTAGATATAAATCATAAAAAGCACTCTCAATGTCATTACTTCTTCTCACTTCTTTGGTTACATTCCTAACTAATATGGAAAAAATCAATTCCAGATTTGCAAGACCAAGAAAGAAAAGTACAATGCTATAATGCTTTAAATTTTGCAAACTGCAATGTATTTGATGAGAAAATGATTACAGTACAATCCTAAAATTCTTGAAACTCAAAATCTAAATAAAAACAAAAAATTTATTATCATAGATGCCTAAATCAAACAATTACATGAACTTAATTTCTACTTTTGTTTCATAGATTTATTAGGCTTGCCAGCTAACGTTCGTTACTTAAAGTATGATAAATTATGACAAGATTGGTTAGCAATTATTTTTTTATTGTATAATAGATTACTTTTTGCTTCAGTGTACAACATCCAACATGAACATATACCATAAAACTATCCGTCTAAAATACTATTTTTTTTAACTCTACTAAACAGTTAAAAAACATGTTACCAACATCATATCTTCGATTTCAACTTCAATAATCCTATACACATTTGTGAATTTTTATTTAACTCACAGTTCAATAACATGTATAATTGTAGCTTGGGCCTTGAGTTTTCCTTCAATTTTTTTTGTCATGTTGCTACTGAGTTAAATTTTCGTCCTTATATACTACTAACAGGTTAGTAAGCAGTACTATGGGAACTTATTTCCTTCTTATTCGTGGTTGTTGCTTTTTCCCTTTTCATTTAGTGTTCACACCTTCATATCAGACTATTTTTATATCAATAATATCTTAAATATGTATGATTGAAAGATCACCATCATAATTGCATGTACATTAGTTTCGACATCTTCATTAGCATCATGATCAGTGCATCAGAAGATTATTAATATCCCAAATTAAAATATGCATGGCTCTTTCTTGTACTTAACCCTAAAATATAACCCAAATCAATCTATTTTTTAGTAATTATTGCTACTTTTACTCATAAATAACTAGCCATGTAGATAATACATTGGTAAATGACTTAATAGGCGAGGCCTATGTTGAAAATCAATATTTCTCTTTTATCTTATGACTATAAACACCATTCTAAAAATCCAATGATGTGGTCATATCAAGGTCAATTAAATATAAAACTTGGTAAATGACAGCTAAGAAGCTTACCCACAATTGCAATGACATACCAATTTGTTAACCATGATCCAAGCATCATAACTGGTTATGAAACATAAAAAGCTTGTCAAAGTTGACAAGATATGGCTAAAATAAACAAAGAAATTAATAAACTTTGCTATTTCTTGAAATTAATCACAAAAGAAAAAAAATCGAAGTGTCGCGACCTTTGATAGATCACGGTGAAAGATCTGGGATAAATATTAACCGGGCTCCACCCTATAACTCACAGTAGTCCCTTCTGGCGACGGTGGCCAAAGATCCCTCACGCAATGGTGGTTTACCCAAACATAAATTTGAAAAAGTATGATAAAAGATTATTATTTAGTATGGTACACGTGTACTTGCATGAGTATTCCACGGGAATAGTTTATAACTATTAATCCATTATTTGATGGTTTACGGAATATATCTTCCTTACAAGTGGATATTAACACAATAATAATTTAATCAAGACAACAACATTGAGATGAAGGCCCTGCTTCACATGAACCTGTAGCAAAAGCTAGTTCTTGGCAAAGTTGTAAGCAGTCGATGCTGATTGCGTCACACCGTCCAAAACATGCTGGTCCAAGAGCTGTGTAGATGGAAATTCAAAATAGATGTTGTAATTAAATCATGCTTTATCGTAAATTTTTCTAAATTACCTGGACAGAGAGGAATGATGTCATACCTAAAATCGGAATACATGTCATGAACATAAACCACAACACAAAAACCATCACGACAAGAGCATTTTTTGTTCTGTAGGCCATTTATTTGATAAACAATATTGCTTGATTTTTATTGTAAGAATAGAATTAAAAAACGATCGTACTTTATGTCGGATTATCACTCCTTAAATAGTCATTCAAGTGAAGCATAACACTTGTCAGCATCGTTCAATTTGAGCATAACAGTTTGTTAGCACCATTAATTAAGATCTTTAAATTTTATTATTAATGTATCTTCATATTGAAACTAAATTAGTATGTAAATTGAAGAGGTTATGTTACGTTTGACATCAGTTTAAGTGTGTGTGACATCATTAATTTCAAACATAACATAACATCTTCCATTTACATGCTAATTTATTTTCAATATGAACATTCATTAATAATAAAATTTAAAGATAGTAATTAATGGTGCTAACGAACTACTATGCTCAACTTGAATGGTGCTAACGAGTGTTATGCTTCACTTGAATGACTATTTAAGGAGCGGTAATCCAACATAAAGTATCATCCTTTCTTAATTCTATTCATACAATAAAAATCAAGAAGTATTGTTCCTGAAGCCAATGGCCTACACAACAAAAAGTTCTTTTGTCGTGATGGTTTTGGTGTTGTCGTTTATTTGCATGATATGTGTTCCGATTTTAGGTATGATATCATTCCTCTATTTTTGG